AAGGATATCATGTTTGGTAAGGTGGAGGGTCAGAGAAAAAGAGGAAGACCCCCAACGAGGTGGATTGGCCACGTGGCAGCAGTAGTGAGGTTGGCCCAGGATCGGGCAGTGTTTCGTTCTGTTGTGCATAAGGTCTCTATGAGTCAGTACTGACTCGATGGCACCTAACAACAACAACAACAACAATAACAATGAACCATTATTAAGGATCCCTGGTGGCACAGTGAGCTAAGTGCTGGGCTGCTAACCACAGGATGTTTAAACCCACCAGCTGCTCTATGGCAGAAAGATGAGACTATTTGCTCTCGTAAAGATATACAGCTTCAGAAACCCTAGGGAGCAGTTCCTCTCTGTTCTTTAGACTCGTTATGAGTCAGAATCAACTTGACAGCAGTGGGCTTGGTTTAGTTTCTGAACCTTTATTGATTTTACTAATTAACATTCACAGTTTACCTTAGGCTTTACTGTTGGTGTTATTTGTCCTATGGTTTTTAGTAATGTTTTATTCTGTTTTTCATGAACGTTTGCATAGCAATTTAGGTTCCCATTTGGTAATTTCCACAAAAATGTGATATCAGTTACATCTTTCACAATGTGTCAACCTTCTCTTCGTGTTCTGGTTGTTCCATTTTCAGTGCTCTAGTTTCCCTGCTCCATTATTGGCTCATCTTTGCTTTAGAATAAATGCTGACCTTTTAGTCTCATACAGATGATTTTTTGGTAGAGCACCTTTCTTACAGGTAACATCCTTTATTTTGTGTGCCACTCTTATTTCCCTAAAAGGTGACCTTGGGGATGCATTTTCAATTCCAGATATAAAGAGTATCTTGGAAAGTCCTCTGGTCTTAACAAGTCCAGTTAGTCTGGTCTTCTTTTGTAAGAATTTAAATTTCTATTCTGTTTTTCTCCAGTTCTATTTGTCACCATCTGTTACCCTTGTCAGAATGGTCAGTGGTGGTGGCCAAGCTCTAACCAGTTCTTCTGGTCTCAAGGTATATGTGGCCATGTCTCCAGTAGACCATCAGCCTTGAAGATTTGTTTCTCTCTGAGATTTTCCTTACTTACCTTCTTACTCTTTTGCTCCAGATGTATCTTAGATGGTTGCTTATAGTCTTTTAAGACCTCAGATACTATTCATTTCACTAGAATGTAGAACTTTAACTTCATGAACTATAGTATGTCAATTGGCTGAGTTGTCCCATGAGATTATGGTACTAAATCCTCAAATCCAGAAAACCAATCTTGGAAGCTGTTTGATTATGTTTAGGAGCACCTGCAGCTGTGTCTTCAATGACTATATGTGCCTACACACACATATCTGTATTTACACATACATATGTATTCACTTCTATCTGTTCTCACGTGTCTATACACCTGTACCTACTTGTATTTGTTTATGCCTTGTTGTTGTTGGATGCTGTTAAGCTGCTTTCGACTCATAGCGACCCATCCGTAGGTAATGTTATTCTCATTTTTTGGTCTTTGTTGGGATTGTTGCAATCATATATATGTCAGATTCTTTCATGCTGGTGGTAGTGGTGTGTTGTGGAGTCGATTCTGACTCATAGTGACCCTGTATAGACTGCAAATCTTTAAGGGAGCAGGAAGCCTCATCTTTCTCCCACAGAATGGCTATTAGTTTTGAACTGCTGACTTTGAGGTTAGACGCATTCTTTTCTTGTGCACGTCTCAGTGACACCAGCTTGTCATTTGTTTTGACCATGTTGTGCTCACTGCACTCATATTTGGTGCCACTCTTCCCATCACCAAAACTAACAGGCATTTACGTTCTAAAGCATGCACCTTCTTCCCAGGCCTAGATGTTTTTGACAAATTTAATTCCATGTGTTCACCAGTATAGTATCATACAGAATAGTTTCACTGCTCTAAAAATGTCCTGTGCTCTGTCTCTTCATCCTTCCCCTCCTTCCTCTGCCTAGCAAGCTGGTATCACATTCTAAAGGTATTATCACTTAGCTGAAAACCCAAGTACAAATTCTCATAAGAAATACATCTGAGGACTTTTGTTAGGTGCTGGTTTGAGAACTATTTATTAACAGCCTGTGCACATCCTCCGAATATTTGGAGCTGCCTCCAAAAGTAAACACAGTATTAAAAAAAATAAAGAAAGAAGTAAAACCAAGAACCTGGATGAAAATGTGAACAGTGGACAAGAACTGGCCACCAAACTACCTGGCGGCAAGAGCAAAAGGTGAAACAGATGATGTTAGCTTGTTCTTACTGCCTAATAAGAGAACGTAAGCAAATTCTCGGAAGACAGAAACTTTTCTTGCCACTTAATTCAAGGAATAATTTGCGTATGGGTTCTTTATAGACAGGACTTTGGGGGAGCTGGCTATACAAAGCAAGCATTTCCCATAATCTCTTCAGTTTCTCTAGAATCTTATAAAAGCTGAAAGGGTATTGCTGAAAAGCACCAAGGCTGCTGATTGTTGTCTTAATAATACTTTACACTGGGCAGGATCCCTGGGGCTTTCCAAGTGCCTTCACTCAAAACATTTATTATTTGGGTCTCAGGGCAACAAAGTCAGTGTTATATGCAAGGTGTGCTACTTTTGGTGTTGGGGATAGGGGATAAGGAGGGATCTACATTTTTAATTGGGAACGTTTGGAGGTAATTCCATACTGTCAGGTTGGTTTTAGTAAGCTCACTAGGAGGCTTCACATAAGTTTGTGGAAAATGAAATGGAAAGATAATAGATTTTTAAAAAGAACTTTTTGAAGTCCCCTCACCTGGTGGGGTTGGCACTTCCTTCAAAGGCAACTTTGAGCCTGCTGGAGTGGTTGGCTCTTGACCCAGCTACGGTGCCTGCATCCTCGATGTGCACTGTGGAAGAGGCTGCTGTGACTTGAGGAATCAGCAGCAGCAGTAGCATTAGGCCGCAGCATGAGTGGCATCCTGCTAGATGTCTGAGGTGACCTGCCTGAAGGAATGGTTTCCTTCCCCTACCTGAGTGCTGGAGACTGTGCCGATTGATTGCCATGCTGTTAGGATGCCAACTGCACTCCCTCGTAAAATGATTAGCCAGTAGATTAAGTTGCTACTTTCCTCTTCACTCCCACCTTCATTATCAGAAAAATGTGATTTTACACTGTGAAAAACATGTAAATACAGAAAAGAGTAAAAGGAAGAAGGAAGGAAGGAAAGAAAGAGAGGAGAGGACTTGTTAAGTGCCATCGAGTCAGTTCAAACTCCTAGTGACCCTAGGGTTTCTGAGGCGCTGATGGTGAGTTTGAACCGCTGACTTAAAATTCTTTAAAAAGAACCTGCTTAATATTCTTTCCTCAGATGTTCAGGATGTTCTTAGTTCTTCACTGATATAATGACTGAGCAGACAGCAGGTTTCATTATCTTTGACTACATTTCGAACATTTACTTTCCTCCATAAGAGAGAGTCCTGTGACAAAATGGATGAACATTAAAGGCTTTCTCATTCTCTGCATACGGTCAGATAGTTTTCCAGAAAAGCTGGACCAGTCTGTACTTCCTTCAGCATTGAATGAGGGTGTCTTCCCTACTACCTCACCCTCAAACAGCACACTGAGTATTTGAAAAAAGTCAAAGAGCGGCCCCCTATTTGATCTGCGTACCTCCGATGAGTAGTGAGAGTAAAGGATGCTTTCATTGTGGAGGAGCGTGGTTTGCATCACTTCATTTGTGAAATGTCTACTCATCAGGCTTTGGGCGCTTCCTCAGGAACACCTAGGATCTGTCCCTAGATGAAGCAGATTAACCCTTTGTCATATTCATTTCATTTCAAAATTTTAACAAGTTCATGATTTGCCATTGGTTGTATTTGGCAACAGCTTTATTGAGCTATAATTCACATGCTGTACTCAGGAAAAGATTGCAATTCAAAGGTTTTTCAGTATATTCACAAATTGGTACTACCATCACCACAATCAGTTTTAGAATATGAGGGGACTTCAGAAAGTTCATGGAAAAATTCCATGACCTTTTAATTCCACTGTTTTTCATGAAATTTTGAAGCTCCTTTGTGTTTTCACCATCTCCAAAAGAAATCCCATGCCTTTTAGCCATTGCGTCTTCTACTTATCCACCCAACCCACCACCAGCCCTAAGAAACCACTAACCTACTTTATGTCTGCCCTCAAGTTTCCTCAGAGCCTGACGTGTGTGGCTGTTTACCTGCAAATGACATAGGAATGAATAACAGAAAACCACCTTTGCCACCCAAAGGCCTGGATGATGCTTCCCTTTCATCCTACCCATCTTAACCATTTTGGGGTCCTATCTTTCTTTGAAGATTTGATGAAAGTATTGAAGTGTCTCTCCAGAAATGATAGGTGTGCACATACACGTATGAATGCACACACACAGTTTTGCACGTAACCTCAGGGGGAGGTCTGTTGGTCACTACTCCCTGGTTACACAGTGTCTCAGCATCTTCTCATTCTGAGCCACACCGGTGCTCACCACTCTGAATCTGTACATGCTCACATGCTCTTAATCTCTCCACAGTACAAGTGTTGACTGCATAGTGGTGTGGAACCCACTTACACTGATTTTAGATTTGTTACAAATGATGGCTTTTACCTATTGCTTCCAGAGGGGATGCTTTGACCAGTCATGACCTCAAGGCCTAATGGCTTCCTGAACTGTCGGGGTCTGACCTCGACATAGCATGGGTTTTACTTGATGTTCAGAGGATGACTTTTAGATAGACAACCCTTTTATGACCCCACTTGTGGAGAAGAGGGTCTCCTTTCCTCATAATCACCAAAGCCAGCCCTGAGGGAAATTGGAGGTAAAGCTTCCGGAAGCCCATTGGTTGAGACTAGACCTGCCAGCTTCCAGTAGGTCCTCTTTCATGATTTCCTTAGTCACTCCTTTCAACTTGCATTTCACACTCAAACCTGTTTCCTATGTAGTAACGTTTGGGGCTTTTATGGGGTAAAACATGTCTACCAGTTCTCCTTCCTTCTGTTCCCATTCAGTGGTGTCCTCTCTTTCATAGATTCTGGCTGTGACTCAGTCACTGACACTGAGGCTGAGGACGAGAAGATCCTTCCCTACTCAAAACAGCATAATCTGCCACAGGAGAATTTCCCTGGGAACCTGATGGTGGTGCAGCCAGAGCGCATCCGTTGTGGGGTAGGTATTCCAGGGTCCTCGTAAATACCCATCAGATCTCGGGCTTTCCAGTGGATGTATTTATTGCACTAAGAGAAGTGGGATCCTCATGTTAAACCTCAGTACAATCCCAGTCTTCCCTTGGGGTTTCCTACATCACCTGCATTGTCTACCCTGGGAACCCCATTACCTGAATCTTGAACATATGTAGTTCCTTTAAGTCAAAGAGAAAAAAGACCAGGAAGGTTTATGTCATTAATCTAGACTTTCTATTTCATGGATCCAAAAATAGAATATCTGGGAGACCAGCAGACACAGCACTACCAGACACTTAGCTAATCCTGGAATTGGAGGCCTGGGTTTCTTCCTGCTAGCCTGGTGTCGCACTATAGGATAAACCCTGGACTGCTAACCACAAGGTCAACAATTCAAACCCACCAGCTGCTCCTCAGAAACCCCTTACTTTACTATTACTTTGAGATTACAACTAATGGTATGAAACAAATAATGTGTAAATTATTGAATGGGACACTAATTTGCTTTGTAAACTTTCATTTAAACTACAATAAAATGTTAAAAAAAAAAAAAAAAAAGGAATCGCCTGGGGATCTTGTTAATATGTTGATCCTGATTCAGCTTGCCAGGGGTGGGGCCTGAGATTCTGCATTTCTAATGAGCTTCCAGGTGATACCAATGCTACTGGTCCCTTGGTCGCACTTTGTGGAGAACAGTGCTTAATCTGTAGTGAAGAACTTTAAAAAAAAAAATTTCCAATTCTGCTTTGGACTAATTCTTTTATAAAATATAATAATAATAATAATAAAAGAATTGCTATAAAAATTCAATATTAAGCATACAAAATCTAAGCCCCAGTTTTCTCTTGTTATTACTAGATTCAACAGATATAAAATTACCCCATTCAATTGGTATAAAGGTTTATGAATGTCTACTCTGTCTCATTGGAACCTTACCTGGAGCACACACATACGGTTAGAACCTCAGGCCCATTACCTTAATAGGAAGGTGAGGGGACAATGATCGGTCTTCCATTGCAGGAGGAAACCACAGTCTACGTTATCCTGAGATGTAAATTGGATGAGAGAGTGACAACAGAAGCAGAGTTTTCTCCTGAGGATTCTCCCGCCGTTCGCGTGGAAGCCATGCTGGAGAACGAGTACACTGTTTCAGTGAAGGCACCCAGTAAGTAGCCCCATTTGCCTCTGGAAATCCAACTTTATGTTAAGGAAGTACTCACACTTTCTGTCTTTGTCCTTTCCTGTCTTTACTCAGCAACTGGCAAACGTCACACTAAGATTTGGGCTTGATTGTCCTGTTCTATTTAAGTGAAAAAGAAGTTACAGAAATGGATATGTGTGATGGACAAGAATTTGAAATAGTCGCAGTTTTAACAATCTAAAGCTAATAATATTAAAATGCTTTTGCAATTAGAGTAGAGTTGGGAGGCAAAAATAGTCACCTGATACCCGACCACTCAATCTTTTTTTGCCGTGTTCCAATAGTATCTCATTACTTTGCATTCTATTGTTTAAAATATATAATCTTATGTAATATTTATTCCCTGTCCACTTCCTTACCCCTATGCTATTACATGGACTTATAACTTTCCATTTCGTAGTCTATCTTTTTTTAGTTATAGAAGTAATATATACTCAATGTTGAAAATTTGAATAATGCAGCAGCCATAAAGGGAACTAAATAGAAAATTACTCAGATACTCCCTCAAAGGAAATCACTGGTATCTATAAGTTTCCGTATCTGTTTACATAGCTTAATACTTTCTGTTGCCCACTTGTGTTATCGGAAGTGCACTGTAACTATTTTCCCACGTTCGCAAATACTCTTTTAAAAAGATGCTTAATGGTTGCAAGGTTAATGCATTGTATGGGTGTACCGTCATTTACCTAACTAGTACCTTGTGTTGGATCTGCATTTTATACCCATTTTTAAAGCCTCAATTGAATAGAAGTATCAACTTATAATTTTCGACTTCCTCGTTGTTGTATATTTATATAACTTCTGATTTTCTTACTGATTTTAATTATATAATGAACATCTCTATGCACAAAGTTGTTTTATTTTCTTTTGTATTTAGGATTATCTCCTCAGGCTAGAATCCCTGAAACAGTGATAATTTTTAAGGCTCTTGGAAAACAGAGCCTAATTTTAGCTTTCGGAAATCAGACTGTTATCAAGTGTATTTGTTCTACTACCACCATTTGTTGTTGTTGTTAGGTGCCATTGAGTTGGTACCGACTCATAGTGACCTTATGCACAGCAGAATGAAACCTTGCCTGATCCTGGGCCAACTTCACCACTGTTGCCATGCTTGAGTCCATCAATGCTGCCACTTGGCCAATCCATCTCTTTGGGGGTCTTCCTCTTTTTCTCCGATCCTCCACCTTACCATTAGGCATAATTATTTTAAGTGTTTTTGCTAATTTGATAGCTTTTTTAAAAAGTAGTTCATTGTTTTAATTTGCATTTGTTTGATTACTAGTGAGGTTGAATATTTTTCCATGTTCTCGACTTGTCGCATTTCCTCTTTTATGAATTGAATCTTTGTGGTTGATGTATTTATAATATTTTCTTTTCCCCTCAAAACCCCTTCCTGTGGTATAGAATCCTGCTCTGGGCTTAGCACGTAGTTTTGATAATAGCAGAGCAAGTGAATCAATTCAACTGGCCCAATGAGGCAGAAACACAAGTTCTCTCCCAGCTCTCCACCACCTTCTAACCATTGCAGAATTTTTGTTCACATTTATTGAGGTACTGGGTCTACAATAGTGAATAAAACAGATGAAAATGCCTTCAAAAATTGAATTGCAGACCCAGAGAACTCAGAGTGCTCCCATGCACTGGACTTCTTCCCTTCCTCTTCCATCCTTTTCTCACCTCCATCCCCTCAGTTCTGCTCCAAGATCTTCCTTCTAGCCCCTGGTTAATTTCTTTTCCATAGAGATACAGGCTTTAAAAATTCATGGAAAAATCCCATTGTCTTTTTTTTTTTTTTTCCCCATATTTTTATTGTGAATTGAATGAAGGTTTACAGAGTAGATCATCAGTTTTACATTCAACAAATCCTATACTTTGCTTCATTACATGGTTGCAATCCCCTTTATGTCCCAGCAGTTAATAGCATTTACCTCTATTCACTTTAGCTATTGCATTCCTCCCTGTGTCTCCCACTACCTTCATCTTTCTTCTGCTAACCTCCCTCCTGTTATATATTGCCTGCCCTGTCACCCATGTTAACATGTGTTTACCCTATTGTTGTTGTTGTTAAGTGCTGTCGAGTTGGTTCTGACCCATAGAGACCCTGTACAGAGTTTCCGAGGCTATAATCTTTACCGGGAGCAGAGAGCTTCATCTTTCTCCCACGGAACAGCTGGTAGTTTCGAACTGCTGACCTTAAGATTCACAGCCCGATTCGTAACCATCATGCTAGCCCATGAATAATTTTCCTTCCCCAACGCAACCATCATATATTATTTCTTTTATCAAGAAAACCTCTTTTAAAAAAAAAAAAATCTTTTCTAACATTGGTCTCATATAATATTTATCCTTTTTTGATTAACTGGTTTCACTCAGCATAATATCCTCCAGGTTCAACCATATCTTGAGTTGTTTCACAGAGTAATAATCATTATTCTTCAATGTGGTATTCCATTATGTATATATATCAAAGTCTGTTTAACTGTCCTTCTGTTGATTGGCATTCAGACTGTCTCCAACTCTGTGATATGTGTCTTGTAAACAGTATATTGAAGGATCCTGTTTTCTTTTAATTACATTTGTCCACGAACTTTTTGAAGCCTCCTCATATGTTCACATTTTTCCTTGAACTCTGTTCTAACGAGGCACCTCATTTTTTTTTTCATTAAGCCATGTTTTTAAAGTTTTAATTATTTCCTTACACCTTTAACATTTTCTTATTCAAGTACCCCATAATTAAACCATAATTTAATTATTATTTCTAAAATTAATATTTTTCATATATGTTAACTTTGTGTTGTTAAGTGCCGTCAAGTTGGTTCTGACTCATAGAAACTCTGTATAGGGTTTCTGAGGAGTGGCTGGTGGGTTTGAACTGCTGACCTTGTGGTTTGCAGTCCAGTGCTCATCCTATAGTACCACATCAGGACTAACTTTATATTTTCTCCAGATCTGCTTAAGCAGTAATATTGATGAAACCATGGGTTTGATAAGCAATTTACATTTGTTTTAATAAACATAAGACTAAATAATAGCATGCTTTTCTGTGTCCCACCTAAACCTCTCCAGTAGCCCATCCGTAGGTGCACCACACCTAGGGAAGCACAGTGGTGAGCAGTGCTGAGGGCCAGGGACGGCCCATCAGGACTGTCCCTTGATATCACCATCTCTGTATCAATCACCGAAAACCTTGCTCTCCGTCCTACTTCACACATCCAGTCAGTTACCAAGTCCAACTGTCTTTGTCTTACACATACCCCTCTTCCCTCCACTACTTTTCTGCCTTTGGTCCTCATCATTTATATACCATTTCAGATGCTTCCTGACCCATGCCTCACTGGGCACTTCATTGTATCTTTTCTTCTATTTAGACCTTTCATCTGGGAATGTTTCTCTGAAGGTATATTCCAGAGACTTAGTGGTATGTGAAACCACCATTAGCTATTATACTGACATGGAAGAAATTGGAACTTTATTGTCCAGTGCCGCAAACCCTGTGGAGTTCATGTGTCAGGTAAGGAAGTTGAAAAGAAACCTGAGGTTTCTGGGCATATAGTTTCTGCACATGGTGTATCAACCTCTAGTCTGATGGGTGGGAGATAGCTAGATTTCACATCTGACCATCTTTGCTTTTTTACTCAGGCCTTTAAAATTGTGCCCTACAACACAGAGACCCTTGATAAACTGCTAACTGAATCCCTGAAGAACAACATCCCTGCAAGTGGACTGCACCTCTTTGGCATCAGCCAGTTGGAAGAAGAAGATATGATGACAAGTGAGCCAACAGTCAAACCTCAGAAAACCAGCAGGGGTTGATTCCAGCATCTGGTCACCCCGTGCACCTACTTTCTGTTAGTTTCTGCTCTGCTGCTCATCTGTCAAAAGGGCGCAGTCTTCACTGGGCAGCCAGAGAGTCTTCTGAACTGCACATCTCAATACTTCACCTCTTTGTTTAAAATCTTCTGTGGTTTTAAAACCACTTGCCTTCTAGTCAAAGTGCAGGCTCCATAACAAGTTTATAAGCTCTTCCCAAGGACCTCGTGCTGCATTTCTGCCTTCATCTCTCTCCAGTCCCTCTCTTGGCTTCTGTGCTCTCTTCTGTGGAAGGTATGACTGTCTTTCATATTCTAATGAGAATACTCCCTGTCTCTTGGTTCCTTGACTCGTGGGACTGCAGTATCTTCCTCCTCTCCCTGATTGCCCTCTACCTCGCTGACTTCTCTTCACCTTCCTTTAGCTGCTAAGGCAGTGATTGCTCAGGAAGGCTTCCTCTGAGGCTTTACTAGGTTTTATCCACCTGCTTTGGGCCCCCAGTATCTTGGGTGTTCCCTGTCCTAGCACTCCCTAGTTTGTCTGCTTCGTTAGACTGTAAGCTCAGTTGAGGACTGCCCTTGTGCCTGTGTATCTGACTCATTATAGGCTCTGAACAGATACTTGTTTGATGAGTTAGACTCTTCCTCTTGTGCATGTATGACCAACTGGGAACTAGGAAGGGCCTAGTGCTCTGGACAAGATGCTTGTTATGGGGCTGCTGTGGGCTTGCTGTTCCTTCATGCTGTGGTTCTACTGCACAGATGGTTCCCAAGTCTCTGGTGACCTTCTGCCTGTGTACTGTCTTTCCATAGTCTAAGGGAACCACAAGGATAAAACTTTAGTACCTTCTAGTCCTTCTCCTTGGGCCTTCTCTTTCTTATTGCCCCTTTCATTTTCCTACATCATTCCCATCAGGTGTTACTATCCTCTGTTCTTCAACTTGGAGCTCTGGAGAGAGCATGTCATAGCCTGACACCATGGGGCCCTGGGGACACTTTAAAAAAACTCCTTATCCTGAGGATCATATCCTGGTGAATAAGAAGCTGAGCTTGTATTATATATAAAATAAATAACAACTGTTGAGCTTAGAATTGAAGTTTTTTGTGGAAACAGATTTTTCCTCCAACTCCACAACACTGACATGCCTATTTTTTTTCTTGGTCGAGTTCAACTTGCCATGTTGCTGTTGTTAAGTGCCGACTCATAGTGCCCCTGTAGAGAGTTTCCAAGGATCAGCTGGTGGGTTTGAACTGCTGACCTTGCAGTTAGCAGTCCAGAGCTAGATATTAATAGTGAGAAAATTGTGGGGGATTCAGTGATTTCACAAACCTTTAAAAGCTCTCCCAAATAAAGACTTCTGTGAACACTGAAGTCTCATATGTCCTCCTAAGTCTCTATCAGATGGTCTGTAAGTATTTCTTTAGTTCAAGTTTAAAGGCTGCAGAAAGATTAACATACCCAGGATCATTTAGCATACCTTTATGAAATTGGGGAGAAAATCTAAGGTCTCCTTTAATAAGCATCAAAGAAGAATTTTAAAGCACTCTGAAGTTTGCAGAGAAAGTCAAAACATGATTTTTGTCAAACTTTGTGGCTGTTATTTAAGAGTTTAGAAAGTCAGCACATTTTCAATTGATACTATTTTTTGGGATTCCCCAGTACTTTTAGAGAAAGAAGGTAGGACATTAACAATTAGATTTGCTAATTATTGAAATATCATTTCTGACATCTGAGGGCATGATCTTCAGTGGTGCCACTAAAGAGACTGTCAAATAGTTGGTCAACAAATCACCAAGCAGCGATTGAGTGTCTACTAGGTATCATGCTAGGTTTGACAGCTTTGTCTCTGGGAATAAAAGTAAACAAGAGTTTACCTATCCATTTAGTTTTCACTGGTATTGTTTCAGATCAAAGGGATGAAGAGCTGCCCACCCTGTTACATTTTGCGGCAAAGTATGGATTGAAGAACCTCACTGCCTTGTTGCTCACTTGCCCAGGAGCCCTCCAGGCATACAGTGTGGCCAACAAACATGGGCACTACCCCAACACCATCGCTGAGAAGCATGGCTTCAGGGACCTCAGGCAGTTCATCGATGAGTATGTGGTAAGGTCAAATGGAACTAAAATGGGAAAGGTACTCTGTGATCCTACGGCTGCCCTTTTACCAAAAATATGGCCAAATTTCATCTTTAGAATGCCCTCATGTGCCTCTTCTGGTTGCCAGCAGTATGTGGGGCTGTTAACAGATGAGCTCTGGAGTCAGATGGTTCTGGGCTCAAATTTCTGCACCAGCACTAGTTAGTCATGGCATTTTGGGGAAGTCATTTACCTTCTCTCTCAGTTTCCTAACATGAAAAATAAGATGATAATAGTTCTCCCATAGGGTTGTCTTGAGGATAAAAAGTAGTAAGTATGTAAAGCACTGAAGTCTATAATTTACAGAGACATTTATAGAGTGAATCTGCTGAAGGTTGATATTGATCCCCCTTCCTCATCCACCTTCAAGACACCTTGGCCAGGGGTTTCCGGCTCCCCCCACCCCCAGCACCTGCTTGATCAGTGACTTCTGTGTCCTTCTCCAAGTCACATCTCACATCATGATTAAGTCTGATTCCATCTCCCAGTACTGCCGCCATTGTCTTGGAGGAAGCTGCTCTTCCTGACTCTACCCTTTCTGGTTTTCTTTGTCTTCTCAGACTCACAGAGGGCAGGTAAGAATAGTTCAGCCTCTAATTCATGTCTATGGCCCTCAAAGAGAACAGTGAACACCATCCAATCTTGCTCTTTACCTCCAGACAGGAATGAACCTGACACCTGCCCAGAAACTTACTCCTTTGTGTTGTATTTGAAAATCCATGAATCACTGAGGTACCTTCCTTTGAGTATCGACCAAGGTTTGATGGCATATAAAGTTTTGAGTGAATAGAACAGCGCGAGTACCTGCTTGGGGCATCCCACAAAGATTTATAGCCGTCAAAACCCTGTACAGGCTCGCTGTGAATCAGAACAGACTCAATGGCACTTAACAAAGGCAACGGTTTTTATTAAGAATATTTTACATCCTTAATAATAACAACTACTTGCTGAATTTGTTTGCTTGGAAAATGCATGATTTCATTTATTTCTTACCACAATCCTTGAAGTTGACTCTGCTGTTGCCCCGTTTAACAAATAAGGAAAAGGGCGTAGAAAGGTAAAATAATTGTGCCTAGGGTCTAGTGAGGGTGGAGACAGGATTTGAACCTGTTTTTTCTAAGGCTGGGGCATGTGTATCCTGCTGTATATAAGGAGAGAGTATGAAACAAGTGCTTTCAGTTTGCATTGGATTTAATTAATTCTTATTCAGGTGTGATCATTGGTGATCATCTGTTTAGCATTGTTGCCAAGAGATTGTCCCTGCATATTGTGTATCACCTCAAAGAGCTGTCCTGTTTGTTTGTTCCACTGTAACAAAACCAATTGCCAGACCCTGAGCCTCCAAACACTTCTTAACTGTCACCTAGCCCACTTGTTGAATCCCTTCAGAAACCAACATAAAGTGTCATTGGTGGTTAACGCTGCAAAACTAATGATGATGACAGTGAGGGTTTTTGTTGTTTCGTGCTGAAATAAGGATTGTGAAATCCTTGAGTTTCTTACCAGGAAAAGTTGTGTTGATGTTTCAGAGAAGCCAGCCCTCTAGTATCTGGAGGCAGAAGGACAGAGGGGCAGCATTTCTTACTTCAGGACAAGTCACTCAAAGCCCTGTTGGGTCAGAGGACATAAAGTCCAGGAAGAACTCTGAAGAATGCTGCTGGTAGGAGTGGGAGCCTGGTGTTGAATTGCTGGGGACCTTTGTCTACCCAGAAGTACATCAGCACCTAGCTGCAGCCCGGGCTTACCCACCCATTTTGAATTCCGGTGTGACTTGTCAGTAAGCAACACATTCTCTTGTGTCATTTGTTCCTTGTTGAGGAACCACTAGGGTGTAGTCAAACCAAAAAAAAATAAAACCAAGCACACTGACATCAAGTCAGTTCTGACTCAGAATGACCGTACGGGCTCCCAACGCTGTACCTCCTTACCGAGGCAGATTGCCACATCTTTCTCCCACAGTGTGGCTGCTGGGCTCAAACCATTGATTTTTGTGTTCCCAGACAAGCACTTTAACCACTGTGCCACCAGGGTTCCTAGGGTATAGTTGAAAGATGAAAAGCTAGGAATGTCATGCTTTTCAGAAGCAATGGGGAAGGGTTGGCATAAAAAAATGGAGAGGCCTAGCATGACACTCCTGTTGTTAAGTACCTTCAAATGGGTTCCGACTCATAGTGACCCTGTATAGCGTTTCCAAGGAGTGGCTGGTGAGTTTGAAGCATCAACCTTATGGTTCAAACTGATTTTGAGTTTGAGGGGTCCAGTGCTTTATCCCACAGAAAGTTTTTAATTTGCAACCTTATTGTTGTTGTTGTTGTTAGGTGCCATCAAGTCGTACCAACCCATAGCGACCTTATGCGCAACCTTGTTACTGAACTTTTATTGGTCATCTCTTGAGTGCATAGCTCTGTGCTGGCTGTTATGGGAACATAGAAAGATTGAAACTAAAAGTATAAAACAACCACCACTGTGATCCATTTCCAAATTTTCCTATCATCCTTGCCAAACATTCCATGATAGGTACACAGCAGTGAGCAGACTTAATATCAGGAACAGCTCATGTAAAACATGTTGAAATAGCCAGGCTTTTGTTAAATATATTTTTACCACATATACAAAAAACCCACAAAAAAAACTGAAATAAAAGAAGACATGCAGCCTGGCCTCAAGGAGCTTCCAGTCTGGTGGGAAATACCGTGGTATACGAGCCATTGCAACCCTGGCCCACCTGACCCTTTTATACTCTCCACAAGCCCTCGTGGGAGCCTCATGCTTCCCAAGCTGTCTTAGTGTACCTGAGGGCCTTGTCTTCTCTTTCAGGAAACTGTGGACATGCTCAAGAGCCACATAAAGGAGGAACTGATGCAAGGGGAGGAGGCTGATGCCGTGTATGAGTCCATGGCTCACCTCTCCACAGACCTTCTCATGAAGTGCTCCCTGAACCCTGGCTGTGATGAAGACCTGTATGAGTCCATGGCCACCTTCTCCCCAGCTGCCTCTGAAGACCTCTGTAAGTAGCCCATCTCCATTCTGCTCCACCATTGTGCTGACAAGTCACTTTCTTGATTCTGTGTTGTGGGGAGGAAGTCCCTGCTTACCCCCACCCCATCCTTGAAGGAAAGAGATCCTGTTTTACACTAACAGAGACATGTAGTTGTGTGCTGTGACAAGCAAAACTTTTCCCCACACTTCCTCTGCTGTGCCTGCCACTGCCTGTCTGGGAAAGGGACTGGGAACCAGCATTGTTGAGGCATTGCCTTGTGATCTGAGAGTCTAAACCTGGGACTTTCAACCCTGCCAGTCCCAGTGTGCCTCTTTTAGGACAAGCCTTTTGTCACCCCTCCTTTTTGACCCTTACATGAGATTCATCCATACTATAGTCTGGTAGCATAGTGGTTATGAATTGGGCTGCTAATCTCAGGGTCAGCAGTTTGAAACTACCAGCTGTTCCGTGGGAGAAAGATGAGGCTTTCTGTTCCCATACAGATTTACGATCTCAGAGACCCTGTACAGAGACGCTATGAGTTGGAACCAACTCCATGGCATGTAAACCACCGCCACCATAGTCTACCTGGTGTGGCACTGTGGGTTAATCAGCTGGACTATAAAGTTGATTTGAACCACACCAGTTACTCCTAGGAAACCCTATACAGGGTCATTGTGGGTTGGAACAACAACAACATAGCCTATTTAATATAGAAATGGAAATGATAAAATATACGGCCCTATTGAAATATGCAAGAAGACTAAAAAGAGAGGAAAAGCTCAGGCCAGCTAGCATGTGAAGACATAGTAAAAGCAGATGCTTATCAGAATCACTATCAGCATTACGGCCTCACGATGACACACATCTGCTGTCTCAGTGACTCAGATACCTCAAACAGCATTGAGATCAGGGCGTGCATTTCTCTAAGCGGTGAACTGCTCTTCACAGCCTCCTCTCCATTTGCATAGTTATTGAATTCCTGGAAAATGGAGTGTCTATTAAAGCAATGCAAAAATGTAAGTTGTGTTTATGTTTGAAATAGCTTAGACTCGAGGCTCAGAAAACCTTAAGCAAGGTTGGTTGTCTGGTTTGTGGTGACATGAATTTATTGGATTATTGTTGTTGTTGAGTGCCTTTGAGTCGATTCTGACCCATAGCAACCCTGTATAGGGTTTCCAAGGAGCAGCTGGTGAGTTTGAACCACCAACCTTGCAGTTCAAATAAATGGCTTTGCAGTCTGGCACAGTAACCCACAGTGCCACATCAGGATTCCGAATTTATTGGATGGATACAAGTAAATTTACTTCCAAAACATCATTATCTCCAGACCTGGTTTTTATTTTGTAATTTGCATAACAAACTTTGTCCACATGAGTAATACATTCTTGCAAAAACCTGAGTTGCAAAAACTCCCAGTAGTCTACCCAAAAACACATATAGCATGAGGCAACAGTTTGGTGGCCATAGTTATCCATATCGTCCCTTGACTCTTCAGATTTAAGTATGTGATATTTATACACACAAATACACACAACTATGCATAAATATGGAGTCCTGGTGTGGCACTTTCGGAAAAACACTGGACTTCTAACCTAGTAGTTGGTGTTCAAATCCACCAGCTACTACTTGGAAAGGCTATACTAGGTCATTATGAGTCGGCACCGCCTCGATGGTATGTAACAACATGTATAAATTTACATAAACCATAAGCAGTTGGTTATTTTGGACCTGTGGGTAACTCTTGTGGGATATTTGGAAGTTGTGGGAGACCTGGCTGTCCCACACATTGTAGGATGTCTTGTGTTTTCCCCCTTCTCTCACTAAATGCCAGTTTCATCCCTGCACCATTGTGACAACCCAAACATCCTCATAGATTTTCAAAACACCCCCTAGAGGGCAGTGCTGACTCCCTTTGAGAACCACTGGTTTCAACAAGGTTGGATTTCAGTAAACATACTGGAGTTGAACAAACATATAGGGGAAGAAACAATGGACCCTCTAAGAGCTATTATTTGCTATCAAATGCTAAGCTCTCTGAAGCACTGCCTCAGACGGAGCCCTCCTTCCTACTGTGTCTAATGTGGATTCAAGGAAGACAAAATAAATGGCCATCATCATATCAGCTTTATTGATGGAAGGTTTTCCAGAATGGACTAGATTTCAACCTGAACCGATGACATGGTGCCCATAAGGAGACAGGCCTGATTTACCCTCCAGTCATGCACAGAGCAGCAGGCGCCAAGAGGGGGCCTTGGAGCAGAAGGTGCAGGCTGGGCACGAGGCCAGAGACAGTGCCTGACACCAGCAGGATTCAAGTCTTCCAAATATCCTACTAGACTTACCCAGAGGTCCAAAATAACCAGCTACTTATGGCACATATATTTATACATATTGTTGTTAGGTGCCATTGAGTCAGTTCTGACGCATAACGACCCCGTAAAGATAGGGTCCCATGCCTGTTAGGGTCCTGCCCACCACATGGAGAGAGCAAGGAACTTACTGGAAGGAGGACTGAAAGTACTGGTGGAAGCTCCGTTCTATATGGGCTGGACCCAGCAGGGATGTGTGGAGAGAAGGCATCACACCCACCTCCACTTCCTTTGTCTCACTGAATCCTCCCAGCAGTCTTGTTAGTTGCTGTCATGTAGATTTTCAACTCTTAGTGACCCCATGTGACAGAGTAGAACTGCCCCCATAGGCTTTTCTAGACTTTTCTTGGCTTTATGGGGGGAGATGCCAAGTCTTTCTCCCACATAACTGCTGGGTAAGTTCAAACCACTTTTCTGTTGTTGTTGTTGTTAAGTGTTGTTGAGTCAATTCCCACCCATAGCGACCCTGTTTAGGATTTCCAAGGAGCAGCTGGTGAGCTTGAACCGCGGACCTAGCAGTTCAAATGGCTTTGCAATCTGGCGCATTAACCCACAGCGCTACACCAGGACTCCTTCTGTTAGCAGCCTAGTATTTACTCACTGTGCCACCAGGGCTCCGTAAAGCAATGCTCCAGGATGGTTTTATCACCTGCACTTTACAAGTGAGGAAACTGAGGCTTAGAGTGGTTAAACAGCTTTCCCAGAGTCTCACAGGTAATAAGTGGTAGAAGTCACAGTTGAACCCAGGTCTCCTCATCCAGGACCATATTCTTTGATACTGTACCAGAAAGTTTCATCTAACACCACAAATTTGAGTCCTTTAGAAAACCAATTTAATAGCTACAGCTATGCTTCCTCTTTCTGTAACTTCGACCCAGATTACAAAATAGCCTCTGGAGCTTCCTGCCCCTGGCCATTCTCTGTCCTAACAAGCAGTTCGGTAGCTCTACTGTACTTCAGCTAGTTTCTTCTCTTTGGTGTTGGAATACAAGACATAGATCTTTTCTTTGCGGAACAGGGACTTATTCACAAAAGAAAACTTGGAGAAGGCCTAGGATGTACTTGGGAATCGAAAGACTATGATACCACATCGTTTCTGTCCTGTAGGAAGGAGTCCTGGTGTGGCGCTGTGGGTTAATGCGCTAGACTGCAAAGTTGGTTTGAACTTCAAGGTTGGTGATTCAAGTTCACCAGTCGCTCCTTGAAAACCCTCTACAGGGTCACTATGTGTCAGAACCGACTGGACAGCACTTAACAACAACAACAACAACATCCTTGTTATGGGCAGTCAAATGATGAAAGTTACTGGCAGTTTACTGTTGACAGAGAGCCCATCCTGCTGGGTGCTCCAACAAATGACATCCCCCCACCACATCAGTGGAAAGTTGTTGTTGTTGTTGTTGTTGTCAGGTGCCATCGAGTCAGAACCGACTCATAGCGACCCCATGCACAGCAGAGCGAAACAATGTTCGATCCTGGGCCAACCTCAC